TGAAGACTGACACTTAATGGAGCTACCCAGGCGCCCTAAAAAACAGATTAAAATGCTAAGAATTTTAATGAAAAAGTACACAGATTAAAATGCTAAGAATTTTAATGAAAAAGTACACGATATGCAAGATTAGATGAATACTGTGAACAGATGAAAATTCTGAAAATGTCCAAAAAACGCTAGAGTCCAAACACATTGTAGTGGAAACGAAGAATGTTTTTGGTGGGGTCATTAGTAAATCGGACATCGCTGAGGAAGGAATCTCTGAGTTTGAGAATATGAAACTTAAAAACTGAAAAGGAAAGAGAAGAAAGACTGAAAAAGTAAGAAAAAAACATCCTGGGACAATGGGACAGCTGCGAAAGGTATAACATATGCCCAATGGGAATACCCACAGGAGAAAAAAGAGAAAAAGAACAGAAACAGTATTTGAAGCAGTAGTGACTGTAAATTTTCCCAAATTAATGTCCAATGCCAAACCAGATCAAGAATCTCAGAAAATATCTAGTCGGATGGGCGCCCTCAAAACTGCATTTAGGCATGTCATTCCAGATTGTGAAAATCACAGATTAAAAAGAATCCTGAAGAAGCCCACACAGAACACTCACATTGTCAGCCATAGAATACAACTTAGTAAATCTGAAAAGATTAGAAATAATAGTGTCTGTTCTCTTGTTAGACCACAGTGGAGTCAAAATAGAAATAACAGAAAGATAGCTTGAAACTTAAGATACGTGGACATTAAACTACACACAGGTGGAAAAGTCTTGAGAAAGCTTTTAAAAATCTGAATTAAATGGAATTAAAATATCAAAGTTTGTAGAATACAGCAAAAGCAGTTCTTACAGGGAAATGTATAATATTGAATACATATATTAGAAAAGAAGAAAGATCTGAAATCAGTATTCCAAGCTTTCACCTTAGCATGCAAGAAGAAATTAAATCCAAAGTAAACAAAAAAAAAGAGCGGAAAAATGAAATTGTCAGTAGGAAATCAATAGTAAAATGAAGTCAAAATCTAGTTATTTGAAAAGATCAATAAAACCAGTGAGTCTCTTGACAAGCCAACTTAACAACCGATACAAATAACTAATATTAGAATTGAAAAATTAGCAGGAAAAGGGGGAGGGGGGAGAAGAGGAGCTATTGGTACTGATCCTCTAGGCTGTGAAAGGATAATAAAGGAATGTTATAAACATCTCTGAACCCACAGACTTGACAACTGAGATGAAATGGATCAATTCTTTGAAAGACATGATCTGGCAAAACTTCTGCAAGAAGAAATAATTTGTGTAGGCCTATGTAAAAGAAATTGAATCAGTAATTAATAAAACTTCAAGAACAGAAAGCACCAGGCCCAGATGGGTTCACTGGTGAATTCGCCCAAACATTTATGGAAGAATTTTACCTATTCCCCACAATCTTTTAGAAGGTAGAAGCAGAAGGCATACTCTTCTGTGAAACCAGCAATACTCTAATACCAAGCCAGACAAAGACCTTACAAGAAAAGAGATGGCCAGTATCTCTCATGTACATAAATGTAAAAATCTCCAACAAAATATTAGCAAATTGAATCTAACATTGTAAAAAGTATTATGTCCCATAACTAAATGGGGTTTGTCTCCAGTATGCATGGTTGCTTCCATATGTGGAAATCAGTCAGTGTAATGGCCAAGATGTCTTACAGTCAGTGAATGGGAAATAAACAATGTTACGTCCATACGGAGGAACATTATTCAGCGCTAAAAAGAAATGAGCTCTCACACCATGAAAAGACATGGAGGAAATCTTAAATGCCTATCACTAAGTGAAAAGAGCCACTTTTAAAAGGCCACATACATCCTGTATGGTTCCAACTGCAGGACATTCTGGAAAAGGCAAAATGATGGCAGCAGTAAAGAAACTCGTGGTTGCCGATGTCTGGGGACATGGAGGGATGGATAAGTGGGACACGGGATTTTTAGGACAGGGAAGTCACTCTGTGTGATCCTCGGATGGCACATACTTGTCTGTATGCGCGTGTGAAAACCCATGGAGTTTACGGCATCGGGAGTGAACCGTAAGGGAAACTGTGGTCTTTGGGCGAAAATAGTGGTGTGTCAGCGCAGGTTTGCTGATTGTAACAAATGTGATTTCTGGTTTGGGGTGTTGATAAAAGGACAGGTGGCAGATGTGTGTGGACATGGGACACTTTGTATCTCCTGCTGGATTTTGCTGTGAACTGAAAACTGATCTACAAAACAAAGCTGGTTAGTGTTACTACTTCTTAAATAGTTATTCTCAGATGGGTTAAGAAGTCAATATTAAAAATTAAAAAATAGGTGCTTCCATCAGAAAGGATGAATCCCCAACTTTTGTAGCAACATGGACGGGACTGGAAGAGATTATGCTGAGTGAAGTAAGTCAAGCAGAGAGAGTCAATTATCATATGGTTTCACTTATTTGTGGAGCATAATAAATAGCATGGAGGACAAGGGGAGTTAGAGAGGAGAAGGGAGTTGGGGGAAACTGGAAGGGGAGGTGAACCATGAGAGACTATGGACTCTGAAAAACAATCTGAGGGGTTTGAAGGGGGGGGGGGGTGGGAGGTTGGGGGAACCAGGTGGTGGGTATTGGAAAGGGCACGGGTTGCATGGAGCACTGGGTGTGGTGCAAAAACAATGAATACTGTTAATTTGAAAAGAAATTAAAAGTAATTTAAAAAAATTAAAAAATAGGAAAATACACTTGAATATTTTTCTGACCTGAATGTGGAAGGACTTCTAATCAGAAAAGTTATCATAAAAGAATACACAGTCAGCTATATTTCTGTATAATTTCATTTAATGTTTACTAAAAGACAAAAGTAGTTTAGGAATAACCTTAATCTATAAAGATGTTAATATATAAATGGAAAAATGGTTTGAATAGACTGTCAATAAAAGTAACTTAAAATTACAAGTAAAGTAAACAATTTAAAAAAAATTACAGTTACACTTGAGCACCTGGGTGGCTCAGTCGGTTAAGCATCTGCCTTCAACTCAGGTCATGTTCCTGGGGTCCTGAGATCGAGTCCTGCATCAGGCTCCCTGCTCAGTGGGATGTCTGCTTCTCCTTCCCTGCTCCTCCCTTCTGCTTATGCTCTCACTGTCAAATAAATAAATAAAAATCTTTAAAAATTGCAGGCAGAATTTGGAAAAATTTCAACTTAACCTAAGTAATAAAGAAATGACATTATACAATGGGATTAAATTTTAAATTCCATGTAATATTTGATGAAATTACAAAATATACAAAACATAATTGTTGGTATAATAATAAAACAAAACCTGAGCCCACCCCCCACCAGCAGAGACATCAGAACGTGCTTGATGCCATGTGTCCTCCTGGGGGGTCCTCTGGGACTCTCTTCTCTGCCTCCCACTGTTTTAATCTCCTTCCTGTCATGTTTATCAATTCCTACAATACACAGTTTTCCCATATGTGTATTTTTCTCCAAGTATTGCATTGTTTAATTTTGCTTAATTTTTAATTCCCTGATTTGATTTCTTTTATTTTTTCCCTCCAGTTTGTAGTGTTTGCAGGATACGAAAGAAGATACATAGGTAGAGGGGCTTGGATTAAGTCTGGGTTTGGAGGGGTGGAGAGTGTTGGTGTCACCTTGGGACTAGCCAGGATTACGTGGACCGGCTCATACCTGTTAGGATGGCTACTGTTAAAACCCGGAAAATTACAAATACTGATGAAAACATGGAGAAATTAGAACCTTGTGCACCAGTGGCAGGAAGGTAAAATGGGGCACCTGCTGTGGGGAAGAGTATGGCAAGTCTTTAAACAGTGAGCCCTGTCGGGGCGCCTGGGTGGCTCAGTGGGTTAAAGCCTCTGCCTTCGGCTCGGGTCATGGTCCCAGGGTCCTGGGATCGAGCCCCGCATCGGACTCTGCTCAGCGCGGAGCCTGCTTCCCCGCTCACTCTGCCTGCCTCTCTGTCTACTTGTGATGTCTCTCTGTCAAATAAATAAATAAAATCTTAAAAAAAAAAAAGCGAGCCCTGTAATTGCTGGATCGTATGGTAACTCTGCCTCTGCGTGTTTCTGAGAGTGAGGTTTCAAAGGCAGGTTTGTGTACACATGGTAACAGCAACATGTGGAAGCAACCCTGGTGTCCATCGCAGATGGACGTCGGGCAGATACAGTCCATGCAGTGGAATATTACTCAGGCTTGAAGAGGAGGAAAATGTGGGGGACCCTGAAGGCATGTTAGGGGAGACGTGTAGGGCACAGAAGGACAAGTACTGTACGATTCCCCCTGTAAGAGGGACTTAGATTTGTCACAAAGGCGGAGCGGAATGGCGGGTGCTGGGATGGGATGGGGACCCAGTGGTCACTGGGTGTGGAGATTCCGTTTCACACGGCAACGTGAGTTACGGGGAGGGACTGTGGGGACAGCTGCACAGCGGAGCGGATGTATTTCGTGCCACTGAACTCTACACTTAAAAATGGTGATGGCCATTTATGTGTACTTTGCCACAATAAGAGAAATTGTGGAAAAATCAGTGGAAAGTTTTTGGTTTTGTGTTTTTAGTTTTTAAACAATAAGCCACTTGAGAATCACTTTCTGAAGGAGCTCCTCTTCCTAAAGGAGCCATAAAAAAAGATTGAGGACTGAGTTAAATCTCTCTCCAAGTCTTAGAGTTTTTGTGTTTTTTTTTTTTAAATATCTTAATCTTTGCTGTAACACAAACGAAGGGTTCCTCTGGGACTTCATTGTTCACGTAACAGCTGGAAATGTTGCATTCCATCGTTTCATATCAGAGCTTACCGTGTTCTAACCTCGAGGCCACCTTGAAAGGAAGAATGAGGCCCGTCCCTTCCTAGTTGAATGGATAGATTCTGCTGAGGAATTTCTAACTGTTCGCGCAAGGTGCTACAGCTGTGAGAGGCCCGGAAGCCAACGGTCGCTTGAACATATGAGAGTCAAGTTCACTTGGCGGGGGGGGGGGGGGGTCAGTTGGAGGAGGAGCTGGGAGAGGCAGAGAACTGCTCAAGCACGGGCTGCAGGGGCGTCTCGGGCAGACTGGGGCGCTCGGAGGAGTCCGGGTGGTAGCAGCGTCCGTGCCAGAAGGAGGGCTGCGGAGGGCTTGGGCTGGCCACGTCCGTGAAGACCTGGGCCGAGAGGCCGTCTGTGCCACGGATCTGAGGAACTCATTTTCTAGGATTTTCTTTTTACTGATAAACACCAAGATTGCTGTCTTTTGATTTCTAACCTCATTACTCGTATTTACCAGGCAGTGGGAGGACCTGTGTTGACTGGCTCAGTGCTGTACTCCCGGAGCCTGGAAGAGTGTCTGGCCTGTCGCAGGCATGTCAGAGCTATGTTAGTGAATGAATGATTTTAGATTTCGTAAGAAGGGAAAAATCTCCGTGGTGGTTTTTAAAAGAGATCTTGTCCTAATAGGTGAGGCTGGTTTTGTTGCTTTTATAACCCGTCTCAGGCTTCGCTGTGCTCAGCTTACTTGGGCTTGTGTTCTTTGAAAGGCTCCCTTTGGGCTCCCGAGCATCTCCCTTACGATTTACGTGTCTGTGGTGACACGGTTCCGATTCAGGTAGATCTGAAAAGTCTTTGGCTTTAACCGTACATCTGTTTTCCTGAAGTACGCATTACTTAATTCTTTAGTCTTGATTTTAACCATCTCTAGCCATCTGGTGACATCACTCCTAGAGTTTCTGTTCTTAGTGTCCCCTGTGTTCTTTTGGTGGTTTTGTTATATAAATAGTTGTATGTACTCTTTAGGTATTATTTTAAAATGTTTGCTTTGGTTTTACACATTTTCTGTAGTTCTGAATAAGTTAGTTGTACACGTATGTACTTAGAACGGGCTGAGTTGCACGTCTGCGTGAGGTGATCACTGCCTGACACTGTGCCCGACCAGGCGTCGTAGTCCTGCTGAACCCGAGCATCTTGGCTTCAAACAGCCGAGTATCTTTGAAAGAAATGAAGGAGATTCCTCTTAAATTTCCCCATATGCTTACCATTCTGCGGTGTTCCGTAAACAGAAAGTGGTGTCCCGAGGTGTGGACTCCCCCAGGACGCATTTGGGCGGCCTTGCCCTCTGCCTGCCGTGCAGTTAGGGGTTCTTGTGTCTGTCAGACTCCACTGCCAGCGCTAGGCCCTTGTCCGGCAAGGACCGCAGGTCTTACGTGTTTAGATCCTCCATGGTGGTGCTCCGTGCCTCACCCGGAGCAGACGCGCGCTGTGTGTCAGAACGTAAGTGTGGTGGAGATGGGGTTTGGGGGCGGGGGCGGGGTCCTGCAGAACCTGGCGACTTGCACTACCGCCCTTCACCATCAGATGTCACTCCACGACGGGCCTGACCTTCTCCCCGAGGCCCGGCCGCTCGGGACGGCGGCTCCGGAGCAGGTGCGCAACAGCGGGTGTCTCTGTGCGTTTGGAAGTCACTTCTTTCCGAACACACGTTCGTCAACTCAATTGTAGTTGAGTTTAGTTCTGCGTCCAAGTCTGCACTGAGCCCAACTGATCGTCCTTAAGCTCTCTCAGACTTCGAGTGCTGGCTGTATGTCTGGCCGTTCTCTCTCCGAGCAAACGCTGCAACTGGGACGAGTGGCAGTGGGAGGAGGTGGGGGCTCCGGCACCCGCGAGGGGCTCACGGTGCCTCTGCCAGGACGGCTCCTCTGAGAGGTGCCCTGCTCCACGGCAGCCGGCTGACCGGGCTCGCGGGAAGAGCCTCTCGCTGAGCTCCGATGGCGGCTGCTGGCTTCACCGGGTTTGTCAGAGGGAGAGTGAGCACGGACTTGGCTGTGGAAGGGTATGGGGAAGCGGAGACTTTTAGGGTCCGCCAGCCCGTCCTGGGACACAGGAGGGTGTCAAGAATGAGTTTCCTTCACTCATTCTCCTGCTCTGAAACATAGGAAGGGGCAGGTCAGGGAGGTTTGGGGTTCACCTCACGCCCGAGGGCTGTCCACACGAGCCTGTGGGATTGAGGGACCCAGCGCCTTGGTGTGCGAGGACGGTCCCTCTGTGCCCGGCGGGGGGTCCCAGTGCGCGAGAGCCTCTGCTGCAGCACGGCCCACCCGACACCCAGGAGGCAGCCGTGGCCCTCCTAGACTTGACGCAGCTGGTGGCTCTTCTCCTCTCTTCGCTCAGAATATTGAAATTTGAACGAAATAGCGATACTGGTTCCAAGTACTGGAAAGAGCAGCTACCCCAGCCCGAGCCTGTGAATGTTTCTGATGATGTGGGCCCCCCACGTCCTCCTCTGGGCCCTCAGCTCCCAGCCTTTCATGCCTCGGTCAGAAACAGAGTCTCCTTATTATTTGGAAAGAAAAAGAATGTTGTTTGCAATTGTCAGTATGTCTGCATAAACTTGGGATCCAAAATTTGGAGTATAATAAACTAAGAACTGAGGAGTTGGGACTTGGAGTTCCATTCCTAGTGACCCGTCAGATTACAGTCGCACCCAGCGTAGTGTCAAACCGTTAGATTCTACGTTCTGTTTTGGCTTTGGAATGAAATGGAAACGTACACGATTTTTGATACGTTAGTGTAGGGTGACCACTTGTCCTTCTTGGGAAGATGTTTTTAACTCTTTGGCCTCAAAGTGTCATCAAGGGAATGACAGTTTTTACAAAGTAGTTGGTAACGTAGACGGTAGAAACAAGTCTGACGCCCTCTGTCCTGCGCTAGCACCCGCCAGCTCAGGAGGCGCTGAGTCTTCTACGTACACCGAAGGTGGTTCCTCTTGTAACCATTGCTTTCTTTCCCCTTATGTTCTCGGGTCCTGCAGTCACAGGAGTGAACAGGTCATGGCACGTCTAACAAAACGGCGACAGGCGGACACAAAAGCCATCCAGCACCTCTGGGCGGCCATCGAGATCATACGGAACCAGAAGCAAATCGCCAACATCGACCGCATTACAAAGTAAGTGCGTTTGAGATGTGTCCTTGTAAGGTTTCCTGTGAGATTTTTGGGGGGGAAAGTGCCAAAATGACTTACTTTATTACGCTCATCAACACACGACAGAATGATACCTTCCGCCCGTGTGCGCTGGTCAGAAGAACAGACACAGACGGCAGCTCGCGTTAAGATGTTTAATGAATACCAGAGAAGTAAAATACCAGTGTGTACGGTTTATAGTAGCTTTTTAATAATTAAAGGTTTTTTATTAAAAAGGCTTTGCATTTGTTTCTCTGAGTTCTTAAGGGAATAAAGCTAAATTCATCTCTTCACAAATGTTTGCATGATACGTTTTGGTAATTTAGATGGAATTTCTTTATTCTTTGTACAGCTTCCTTAGACGCTGCCTGTAAAAATAGGAAACAGGTTATTTATGAGCCCCTTTAATGAAATGCTTATTTTGTCCTTCTTAATAAGTCACAGAATGGAGCACCACATATTTTTGTCTCTTAGCTGCATTCTGCTAAAGATCGTAAAGGCTGCTCACGCGGGGCAGGACCGGAGGAGGGGGTTGCTCTGTGCTGCTCCAAGTCTGTGTTGACCCTGTAAGCGCTTGAGTTCACCGTGTACACCTCCTGCCCTGCAGGCCAAGAGAAGGAAAATAGGTAACACTTAGGGACAGTAAGAGTAAAATAAAGAGCACATAATAAGTCAAATTAATATGTTTTTATGAAAAGCAAATAATTTGAGGTTATGTTACAAAGTACAAGTTATAGTGAGGTCATACCGGCCTGAAAACATTTTTTCCAAACTTCAAGAACAAGAAGTGTCAGTATTTTCCTGTGGCTGCAATTTTCTTTAAAATAAACCACGGTTTATGTATATTAAAGTTACTTGTGGAAGAATGTGGAGATCAGATGCTGCTCATTGGATTTAATGTTTAACTTAGGGTCACTGACTGAAACAGAGCAGTGTCTCTCCCTCCCCCAGCGCCGTGGAGCTCCCTGCCCAGGGCGCTTGCCGGTCCTCGCCGGGGCCGCGTGCGCACAGATGTCTGTCAGTGGGAGCCCACGCCCACGGGTATCCGGTACCCTGTCCCCTCTTCATCAGCACAGGCTCAGGCCGCCGAGGCTGACTTTTCTCCATGCGTGAAGGTCCGTAGATCTTAAGGTGGTAGAAAGAAACATACATATTCACCTACCAAAAAATTAACGTCTTACCAGTGGCGGCCGGGATCTCCCCCTTTCCGAGGGCCGCTCTTGCCCGTTCTGGGCACCCGCCATGGTGTCCATGCTGTGGTCACAGCCTGCCTGTCCTTAGTTCCCCGCGTCGCCATCGGCCCCAAGAGGGGCTGTGTGCATAGCCAGCTGGCCTGGGCCCGAGCGTCTGGGCCACGCTGGTGTCCTTGTCACCTGGCTGGAGCAGGTTGGGAGGAGTGCTGCCCCCACCCCCACGATGGGCAGTCAGGAGTCTGGTCTGTATTCTGAACAGGTGAATTCTTCCCAAGTCCTTGGTTAACTTAGATCGAGACGCTCCGCTCCGTTACAGCCGAGCCTGAACATGATTGTCATCTCATCGTTACACACGTGTGACGTTCCTGTTGGCCCTGGCGCGGCTATGGTGGGGGAGGCACGTGTGCTCTCAAGGACCCCTTCTCTACCACATCTGGTGAGAACGAAGGCTCCGCGGCTTCCAGCACACATGCCCTCTACCCTGTTGGGAAGCCTGGCAGACCCTGAACACGGCAGTAACTTCTGTGTGATGTTCAAGCTCTGCTTGGTTTGTTTCTCTCAAAAGTGCCTTTGAGGCCCTCTTCAGTCTACAGCTTCTCATTCATCCTCATGGTGGTTTGCTTTGCACTTTATTTATTGAAGACACGCGGTCGTTGGCTCTGGCTGGTCGCATCTGGCGATGTATTTGTTTCTCTGCATTTCATGGGAGTGGATAGTTGCCCTTGAGGCTTGGGTGGGGTGAGACCCGGTCACAGGTGCCCTGTCCTCCGACCGAGAGGCCGTGGTGCGGGTTCCTCGTGTGGGCAGCTTGGTAGCCTTGATGTGTATCAGCAGTGCCAGTAATTCATTAAGGATTGCCACACTGTGGTAATCTAAGTTCATCTTTCTGCTGTAAACCGGGATTGCTTCTGTGAGGACCCAGATTTGCCATCATGTGCTCTTGGGCAGTCCTCCGGTGTGTTCACGTCCGAAGGTAGAAAAACAGACGTTTTCCCTTTTTTGCCAGTTTTTAAAATAGCATCCTCTAATGGTAGCCAGTTTTTTTAATGTCATTTGGAATTCAGGCATTTCAGTACTTTTGATATACTTCAGTCCATTTCTGACAAAATCCTGACTTATGCTCAGACTTTTCCCGTCTTCACCAGTTGGAGCCTCTCCATGTGGACTCCTGAAGTGGGGTTCTGCTTTCTCACCTAATGGGATTTTTAGGCTCACCTCTTTTGCAGCCCATCCCAGACCTAGAACCTTTGATTTCTCCAAGGGGCTCTGGTTTCTGTCACACAGAAATTGAGTCTCAGAAGCATGTCTGGCCCTCTGCGTGCTCACTGCGGCTTGGTCTTTCCCGGCCTTCTCATGGGCAAATACAATGTAAGAGAAGGAAACACCTATGAATGCATACTTTTATTTTTGTTGGAATTTGTGGCTACTGGATTTTCTGTAACTCTTCTACCAAAAATCTTTATTTCTTTTCTTACACAGTGAGGGGATCGTGAATCGTAGTTACTCAGTTGTTGTATCCAACATTATTTACCGAGCGGCTGGAGAGGAATGACACCAACGCTGTACCCGGTCCTGTGTTTCCTGGAAGTGGTGTAGGGTGTCATCCCTGTTCTCGCACCGCTGGAGCGAGTCTAACCAGCCGAGGGGGACAGGGGCAGTTGCCTGGCACACTGTCTTCTCACGACGAGCATTGTTCCCTCTGTGGTCGGTGTGTGTCTCATGGTCACGAGCAGCCCTTCTCTTGGGGTCCAGAGTGCATTCTCTGGTCGATTTCTTTTTTATATTCCTTTCCCCCAGTTTTACTGAGATACGGATGACATACGATACGGTGTTTATACACAGTACAACATCGTGATTTTGTGCTTGTACCCACTGCGAAACGATCACGTCATCCTGTTCAGGCAGCTCTGTCCCCTCATGTGGTCGCACATTTTGTTTCTCGTGGTGAGAACTTTGGAGACTTCCTCTGTCAGCGCCTTTCAAACCCACGTCCGTTATTATGAACAGGAGTCAGCATGCTGAACCCGACATGCCCGGGACAAATTTCTCTTATAACTGGAAGTTTGTACCTTTTGCTCCCTTCCCCGTTTCACCCACCATTGGCCACCACCAACCTGTTCTGCAAGTCTGGCGCTCGGTCTTTTTAGCTAACATGTGAGAGAGGGTGCAAGGTTAGGGCGCTACTGTCTGACCTACTCTGCTTAGCTCAGTGTCCTTGGGGTCCCTCACACTGGCCCTGAATGGTGGGATTTCGTCTCTCACGGCTGAGTCGTCGCCGCGTGTGTGCGCCACGTCGTCCTCATGCACACCTCTGCCAATGGGCACGTGGGCCGTTTCCACGCTGTGGCCGCGGCGAAGAGTGCTACCATGGACGTGGTGGGGCGTAGACAGCTTTTTGAAATAGCGATTTCACTTCTTTCGGATAAACAGCCAGACGCGGGATTGCTGGGTCGTGTGGTCGTTCTGAGCAGTGTTTTGAGCAGCCTCCGTGCTGGCTTCCCGAGTGGCTGCACCGTCTGGGAGATCCGTGGTCAAGACTTGGTGGGAACTGACCTTCAGGTTCCCGCCGGTTCGTCACAGTGGTTGCAGCCTGCTGACTGTGTCAGTTTGGACATAAAGTCCTTAGCTCGACTGTTTTCTTTCTTCGGCGTGTTTATGTGTTCTGTGTGCCGTCTGCGGGCCTCTTGTGGTCGCCACGCGCCCCAGGAAAGAGGCCTGTGCATTTTTTACCAGTTTCTTTTAAGTCTCTCCCTGTTTTTAGAGCAGAGTTTTGTTCTGTTCAAGAAGTGTAACTAACAGAAACTTCTTTGGTGGGTTCTGTTATTTGGGGTGGAAAGTGCTTTCACCGGAGGAGTCCGTCTGAAGTCAGAGTATATGTGTGGCATTAAGTTTGATTTTTAATGAATGGTCAGGCTGTCCCTCTCACTTAAAGGTGCGTGTTTATAAACTGGCCATTGATGATTATATAAAATTCCATAGTCCTCACTTGAGAGCTAAATAGACACAAATAAATTTTGGTATCTCAGTAAAAACATTTTACATTTTTAGACATTAAAGTATGGTTTGTGATGCTTAATCATCATAAAATTGAAACCAACAAGTCATTTTATCTTAAAAAATACAGGCGTCATTTGAGGTGAAGGTAAACACAGGCAAGATTTTATATGAAACAAATATTTATAACATTTTTATGCTTAAGATCATGATGTTAGCTCTTGTTTTACAGTTTTTAAGTCAAGGAACAAAGATTAAGAATCATAGGCAGGGACACCTGGGGGGCTCAGTTGGTGAAGCATCTGCCTTCACCTCAGGCCATGCATGGTCCTGGGGTCCTGGGATCGAGCCCCACATCAGGATCCCTGCTCAGCGGGGAGCCTACTTCACTCTCTCCCTCTGCCCCTCCCCTTGCTTGTGCTCTCTCTCTCTCAAATGAGTAAAATCTTTTAAAAATATATATATATATGACAGCAAAATCAGTAACAAATGAAATTTAAACTTTCAACCCCTGAGAGTTCCTGTATTATTCATAATTCATTATGTCATTTACAGTCACCTGTATTTTAATATTCCATAAAATAAGTCATATATGTCACTTCTGTTCCGTCTTAAACCCACACATGTACTCACATCTAACTTGGATAATTATAACGCGGCATTAGCGTTTCATAAAGTATTCTCAGTAATAGTCACGACAGAAATGCATTCTGTTGAAGCAGGGATGGATTTTATGTTCATCTCTGCCAATGTCACGGGCTAGTTTGTGCCATTGCAAGAGGTCACAGTTCTGTGCCA